AGCCCCGCTCCCGCCCCCCCCCCGCCGCTCCGAGGGGGCGTCCCCGCTCCCGCCGCCCCTCCGCCGCTCTGAGGGGACGTCCCAGGCCCCACAGCAAAGCACCGAGGAGGCGGGGCGGGAGTTTCAGCAGGTAGGATAGCTACCAGCAGGAGAGCGACCCGTTATTCGTATCACGCGGGGAAAAAGAGACGCAAACCTGAGAGAAACCCACGGGTGGCCGTAGGTGGTGGCAGGACTGAGGGGGAAGGCAAAGCGAGCCGGGCGGAGCTCCGCGCCGGACCACCACAGCACAGCACAGCACAGCACCGCTGGGGGTGAGGCTGTTACTGTGTGGAAACCGTCGCGTGTAACGCGTTACTTGCATCGCTTTTCCCTTCTGTTTTTTCTCTGGAGGGATCAGTGCTGCAGTGGCAGTAAGTCACTGGTTTCTGCAACAGCGTTATGTCATTTTTAGTGTTCATTTGTATTAGTTAATGTGTATTTATATTGTACTTATGTGCACTTTACACAACGTAACGTTTTGTGTGCTGTTCTGGTGACTGTGCAGTCAACACACATCAAACCAAAAGGGTCATCAGAGTCTTTTTCTTGACTAATCATACTTAATTTAAAGTGCAATAAACTACAGAACTAATTCAAATTATCCTTTTAAAATAGCTTTGTATTTACCAGCAAGGAGTTTGCTCTCTTGTTACGCTGCTCCTAGCTTAACTGCGAACCTTTGGGGTCTTTATTCACCCTTTACTCTGTGGGAACCGTGAGCGTGAATTCCCTGGGAACAGAGGAAACACTAACGTGGACTGGAGCATTCCTGGCAGCACGCTGGCCTGTGGCCAAGTCCCAGCTGCAACCACGCTCCTCCCGGCCCTTGTAGAGAGGTGCTCCTGGGTGTGATGGCTTCGCTTTAAATACCCAAGCGACCCAGCTGGTGAGCTGCCCTTCCAGAGCGGTGGGGTGCAGCAGGACTGGTGGCTCGCATGCCACAGAGAGCGCTGGGGCTGCCGTACTCCTGCCTCGACTCAGCAGCCCGTCCTTCGTGGCCAGGCTATCCTTCACGGCTAGACCATCATCCTTCATGGCCAGCCCATCCTTCGTGGCCAGGCCACCTTTCACGGCCAGCCCATCCTCTGTTACCAGGCTGTTGTCCTTCACAGCCAGGTTGTCCTTTGTGGCCAGGCCACCTTTCATGTCCAGACTCTCCTTTGTGGCGAGGCACATCTTTTGTGGCCAGCCCTGTCCTTCATCGGCTGGTCATCCTTCATGGCTGTCCTTCGTGGCCAGGCCACCTTTGATGGCCTGCCCATCCTTCATGGCCAGGCCCATCCTTCCTGGCATCCCACCCCTTTGTGACCAGGCTATTGTCCTTCATGGCCATAGCCAGCCCACCTTTCATGGCCAGCCCATCCTTTCTGGCC